CATAGTAAAGCCTTTAGGTCCAAAAATATACCCATTATGCTCACGTAAAAACAACTCTAAATCAGTAGGCTGTCACTCTATTAATGCACCACACCGCTTTCTCCACTGCACTAAAAGTTATACAATAAATTCTACAATCCTAATTTTGTATCGTGATGGAGACCGGTGTCCATACAAAAATTTTACTAGGTTGCCGTTTGGTGTGAGCAATAGCGAACAGCACGAACACTCCTTTGCCCCGTCAACCTATATCTAATCTATTTAAAGAGTGACAACCATACTACACATTGAATTAGGATTCCTTTAAATATCAAATTGATTTATTGTAAACTTGTTTACTCTGTAATAAATGGCATAAAATTGAATTTTTGTTTAACTGAATTTTTGTTTAACTGATCTGTCTGACTGCATGAATGGCTGCTTCCACTTCTTCTTGTAGGTCACCACAGAGTTGCATGGGTGCTGTGTTCATGATAATGTCCTGTTTCAATGTGATCATCATTGTAGGTTTATAACCTACCAGGACGCGCGCCGAGTTGGACTCGTCGACGATTTGGAACAAATATTTTACGAGTATCACCCGTTAAGAATTAAGATCATCACAGCTTTGCCGACTATTCTTCTAAGGACTTCACCAATCCCAATGGGAGTAACCCCTGGGTCTTTGTCAAGGGGGATGAGGCGACCTGCTATGTATGTTTTCAGGTGGTCAGGCTGTATCTTTTGGCAACACAGCTTTCTGGCCAAAACTGCAACTGCTTCTTTTAGAAGTTCTGGCTTTTTCTTAAACTGCTTAGAGCAGAGAATATGCTGCCATGACTCTGCATCTGTTCCTGAGGGCCCACCAGACCCACGGAGGTCTCTTGCAACCTTTTCAATTCTGCTGGAATCGATGGAATCAAATATGACAGCATCTACCTCTTCAATGGGGCCCTTCATTAGATTAGATTCGAGTGATGGGCTGCTTTCAGGGTGTTTTTTATGAGTTCTTGAAAAATTGTTGTTTTCTTGGCTCTTGCTTGTGGAAGGTGCATCAACTACCACCAAAGCGGTGCGTTGGGATCATTTCGTCCGTAAAATTGTATACTTTTGCTTTGGAAAAGAATAAGTAGAACAAAATTTAAGTAAAACAAAATTTAAATTTTATTGCCATATTACAATGAATAATAGTATCATAATAAAAATAGCTTAGTTAATCTTAAACATCCGATAATAAACTCATAGAAATTAGATATCATGCTTAGAGGACTTCGCCGCGCAAACTAGCATTCTTGCTTCGTCGATCGTTGCTCTGCTTCGCAGAGCAACGATCTCGATGGATTGACATCGTCAATCAAATATCATGCTCATAATAATTAGATTGTGTTATGTAAAATACGCTTTTTACTATATACTACTCGAAAATTCGTCTCAATCATAAATTGTTATTAGCGCGGAGCTAGTTGTAGGTTTACAACCTACCAGGACGCGCGCCGAGTTACTTACTTGGGTTACTTGGGGTTGCTTCGCAGATCCTCTATCGGGTCATCAGAACGGCTGACCACCCGTGCAGCGAAGTTGCTGTCTTTTCTGCGCTCCAGTTCAATAACGAATTCCCGTTCTGGCAACAATATCCAGTAACAGGAGGTTCGTCCGGAATAGATGTAACAAACTCCGTCAACAATGACTTGAAACGTAGGGGGTCCTCGATAAGGTGCAGGTTTGCGGGAATGATGTTCCACAATCGAGGCCCCATCACTACAAATGAGCTGTCAAAGATCGATTGATTCCTTTGGCTACTGGACGTTGACAAGCTAGGGACTACTGCTTTCTGGCCATAACGGAGTGTATCTGTAAACTGAACGTTGACATCATTAGGACACTTCTTGTGTAGGATCTTCCACATATGAATGATAGTGTAACGTTCTCTCCTCCGTTGAAGTGACATCAATTTTAAGGCCTTCAGTCTCTGCCAATAGTTCAGATGTTGCACACCATGTATTTTGGACGTAAATGTACGTTGTACTCCCTCTAGCTCAGCGATATCAGCTTGCTTAGTTGAATTCCAGAAGGGACAACAGTACTCGAGATGGCTTGACTAATGACTTGTAGAGGGTCAGCATAGTGATCTTGTTTCTCGATCTAAAAGCGCTCAGAACCCAAGAGGCAACTTTACGGGCACGATCTGCTATCATAGTAACATGTGAGCTCCAAGACAAGTCCGCCGAGATCAAAACCCCCAGGTCTTTGACTGCATCCGTAGGGTACATTATGTTACCATGCGAAACTTGATAAGTTTGCGTCAGGATGGCAAACGGGAGGTCTTGCAAGCTGTTTCGGGGACAGTGTTTGTGCACGAGTATCTCAAATTTATCCTCATGCAATGACATGTTATTGCATCTTGCCCAGTCGATGACAGAGTTGAGATCATTTTGCAGTATACTTGCATCTTCAAGTGTATAGATGTGCCTCAAAATCCGTGTATCGTCAGCAAAGAATCTAATGACACATCCTGTGATGCACAGCTTCATGTCATTAATGAACAAAATGAAAAGCAGCGGGCCCAAAACTGTACCCTGTGGCACTCCGCTTATGATTGCTGCAGCAAGTGATGACATCCCGTCCAACACAACACACTGTGTGCGGACTCGTCGACGGTCCAATATATGGAACAGATATTTTACGAGTATCACCCGTTAAGGAGCTAGTCACTTATTATTAATATTTTGGAGGACTTCGCCGCTTCGACGCGCCGCGCGAACTAGCATTCTTGCTTCGCACCGTCGATCGTTGACATCGTCAACAGTCAATCAAATTAATATTATGACGGCGCCAATCCTAAACTAATGAATTCAAAATTAAGTAAAAATTTTAAAGCAGAAGTTATTTTTAAAATATTTGATTAACTGAATTGTGAATTGTATTATATTTTAATCGTTTAAATTTTATAAATTGATATAATTTCATAAATCAAAATAATTTCATAAATCGATATATATAATTATAAATAGTTCATAATGCCTTGTTACACGTTGTAGCCCTGCCGTGCCGAGCACGAGTGCGCGGCTTCTTGCTCTATCCAGAGCCCTTGCGCCTGCAGTAGCGCGCGCCCGTCTCACTTAACTTGTGAAACAAGCGCGCCCGCTGCAGTGGCACGAAAGCACATGGTTAATTAGGTGAACGCGGCTTCGTCTTTCGTGGCTTTCGCCACAAAACCATTTCGTGCAATGACAGGGGATTACGACGTGGTACAAATAATTCCACGTTAGCATAACAACATTTTTGTTGCGCATGTTCTGAGACCACCCAGCAAAAGTTATTGGCTGGTTGACGGGTGATACACCGCGCGTAAAATATTTGTTTCAAATATTGTAGGTTTATAACCTACCAGGACGCGCGCCGAGTTGGACTCGTCGACGGTCCTGTATGTGGAACAGATATTTTACGAGTATTACCCGTTAATTCAAATACCGTCGACGAGTCCTGCGATGCACTTTTCTGGAGATTTGAAGATAACTCCAAATCTACGATTTTTTAAATTTCCCCCTGGGGGGGGGGGGGGGGGGGGGCCGGGGGACGTTACTTTTACAAAACGAACATGTTGCAAAAAACTGGAAGTCGCTACTGGGAAGCGCGTCACGCAGTACGCGTAGACTCTCACTCATGGCTAGATGAATGTTTTATGCATGTTTTCTGGACTGCAATTGGTTTAAACCGTTTTGCGTACCTTTTGAAACGTTGATTTTAACTTTTAAATGATCCGCTATTATAGGTGTCGTTAATAGTTTAATTTACTAGCCAGTAGCCACTAGGTACCGCGATTAATTTGTATTGCAACTCTTTCTAACTCTTAATCTTTTTAATACTTTATCACAATGCTGGCAAGCATGACCGTGCCACTTATATTCACAACACTATTTACCCCCTTTACTATTATACCCCCTTTACTAGGTATTATACCCCTTTATTGTTTTTCAGGCATTACGACTCATCGAAAGTAGTTCAGCAGGTATAATTTAAGTTCAAAACATTTTAATTCAATGTTAAAGATGACATGGGAATAAGGAATAGTTATGTGGAGGTTTTTAAGAAATTTGCGCAAAATACGCGCCAGCATGTTAATATTATACGAAATTCGGTAAAAAAAAAACCCAAAATCGCCTTGAAATACGTTGCATGCCACTTTTCTTTTACTTTTGAAGTTAGGCCCTGGCCAATAAGGGTTTCTGAGCTGAGCTGGGTTCAAGAAGACCAGCAAGAAGTATATACGATGATGAGTTACTCAGTCTTGATGATTATGTGAGCACTAGTGAGAATGGACAAGTTAATAATGGACTGGAAATTGAGGTGAACCCAGGACATTCGATTGTGGAGCAAATAAGTTGATGTCTAAAATAAAAGAGTCAGAGGAATGGGATTCCTGTCAGCCAAACATGATAATTAATAATATGTGGGCGTGGCTAACTGTTAAGTTTCAACTGAATTAAGTTGTCCAGGAGTTGAATCCACCCCGCCTTTTCTTGGAAATATTATTATTAGGTGGCATGAGACTGTCGCCTTAATCTAAGACAACATATTTATATTCATTGAGTTTATTTAGTCACGAGAAATTATTTCCCTAATTATCTTGAAACACCGGGATTTGGGATTGGTTCATCATATTTTAAGTTTCCTACAGATTGCCGTCAAGCGAATAAACGTCAGAATTAATCTTCCTTAAAATTTAGATGGCACGTTTTTAATGGTTTTGTATTGTTAACTAAAACGTTTATTTTGTTATGATTGTTGACCTTTTCAGAAGATTCTAAACTTCTACTACACTAATTTTTAAATTCGATTCTATTGTAAACTGTTTTTAGATTGTTACGATTTAATTTCCGTTGATATGCCAATGGCATCCAAGCGTTGGTGAAATTAATAGATAGGATCGAAGTCGGCTGTTGAATGTTGATTAGTTGATTAGTTGATTAGTTGATTAGTTGATTAGTAGATTTCTGGAATTCAGAGGAAAACAAAATAGCTGCATTCTTTAAAACGTAATATCTCTATAAAGTTACTTTGTAATTGTACTGGTCAAATACACGATTATAATACAAATTTGTAACACAATTATATATCATAATAGTTTACACTGTTGTATTAATTAATCAATGCAGCGCGTTTGAAATAGAAAATAAATTATTTCTATCACTAACATACCATACACCACATCAAAAACATTTATAAAACCTCGTTTTAGTTTAACTCTACTTAATATATCTGTTAAAATATTATATCATTATATAATGTTTAAACTGTGATATAAATCATAATTTTTGTTAACCTAAAGAAAATCACCTCACTTTCTGCAATTATTTGAATATTATTCAAATATTTCCCAATAAACAACTCTCTTTAGTTCATAACCATTAGTCTATTTACAATAGCTAACGATAGCTCAGTTCACGATATAGTCATCTTGACAAACCTTATAATTGTGCTACAGCAGAACCTGCATCAGGAGCAGGATAGTCAAAATTCCAGGTCCTAATTTTACACCAACTCCCAAAACCGGCTCATCTGAAAATATATATGTTAAATCTCTGAATTTTTTAAGTAAATGTGGAATTACTTTTAAAAGTTTGTACTTTATTTTTAATCTAAAGTTTTATCGGGTGTTAACGTTTGATCTTCAACAAAAGTTTCGGTAAATTTCATCGGAACTGAAATATTATAACTTATAACTATACATAAGGAGTGAGGAGTGAGGAGTGAGGAGTGAGGAGTGAGGAGTGAGGAGTGAGGAGTGAGGAGTGAGGAGTGAGGAGTGAGGAGTGAGGAGTGAGGAGTGAGGAGTGAGGAGTGAGGAGTGAGGAGTGAGGAGTGAGGAGTGAGGAGTGAGGAGTGAGGAGTGAGGAGTGAGAGTGAGGAGTGAGGAGTGAGGAGTGAGGAGTGAGGAGTGAGGAGTGAGGAGTGAGGAGTGAGGAGTGAGGAGTGAGGAGTGAGGAGTGAGGAGTGAGGAGTGAGGAGTGAGGAGTGAGGAGTGAGGAGTGAGGAGTGAGGAGTGAGGAGTGAGGAGTGAGGAGTGAGGAGTGAGGATGTGAGGAGTGAGGAGTGAGGAGTGAGGAGTGAGGAGTGAGGAGTGAGGAGTGAGGAGTGAGGAGTGAGAATAGTTGCATTTCATTCACAGGATGAACCCCTTCGGTCCTTTTAGGAAACAACAACTTACTCCATGTGCAGTCATTTTCTTGTGTTCCTTTTCCAGAGTCTACCTCTTTTCTAGCTGGACAGGCAGTGCAGGTAGCAGCTGTGTTTGCTGCTAAACTCCAATGATCTGCCGGACAGTCTGTACAGCCATTATCCTGATGCAGAAACTGGCCCGCAACACAATCTTCTGCAAGTATAATCGAGTTTAGTAAAGTACCTATTAGTTGCAAGTTTCAGCCGCTAGCAAGCAGCTTAAGATTCGAAGTACCCTTTTAAGGTGATTGCAAGGGCACGTGCAAATATTAGCGAGCGACATTTTGATCGGCTTTGTGGTAATTACGTTGTGTTAGTGCGAGAAACATTTTAATCGGCTGCATCTTGGTTGTAATGGATATGTTATTGTTTTAAAGCGTTTAAAAACTGGCTATCAAAGAATACTATTAGCTTCCCTCCTGTGACCACGGGCTTTCTAGTTATAAATAAATTAATTAAATTTTACTCAAAAGGATATAAAGTCCACCATAATTCCCCAAATGCCATCCCTTAAAATTTCCCTTTTGTCCCTAATTTTTAGGATCAGAATTGAAATTTGGGTTTCCCCTTTTGATTTCAACAAGGCCTTTGGGATATCGGGCCTTGGAAAAATGGAAATGTTCCCCTTGATAAATTTATCTTCAACGAATCCTCCCTTGCTTTTTTTTTTTTTTGGGACAAGTCTGTACAGCCAAAAAAAAAAAAAGTGTTTTATGAATTATGAATAAAAATAAGTCCCTTTTGGTAGGGTCCAAATTCAAAAGTAAAGAGTACAATTCCCGGGTTTTTTGGGAAAATGTTCGTCGTAAAATAAGTTACCTTTTCAGGAGGAAAAAATAGGGCATTGTGATTTTGGTTCTCCAAAAACTCCCCCAAAAATTCCCAATTTTGGGGGGGGCCCAAACCCCAAAAGTTTTTATTTTAACTTTGGGAATTTCTTTTTGTCGTCTGATTGGCTAAATTGTGTCATGTGCTGGCTGCTTGAGATTGGAATGCGCCACGGTGCAAATCACTACATTTCGCGCGCGAGCTCAGCCGTCTGTTTAAATTATACCACCTCTAGTAACTCGGCAAGCCAGTAGGGTTTGCTGGGTACATTGCAATGAAAACTGCGATGAAATGCCGCGTCTATATAAAAGTACGCCTGTATAACTGCGCGGCATTTCATCGCAGTTTTCATCTCAATATAGGTTTAATTGCAATGTAATATGTACTGTACTACGGCCTTTAGGATGGATACAGTTGAGTAATACTAATGAGTATTGAGTATATAATGATAATTAAACATCTGATCAAGTATGGCACATATTTTAAAGCTTAAAGCTAACTTCCCGCGAAATAGAAAAGGTTCTATTTTATTTTATTTTGACGGAAGAAAATTAAGTTAGGAAGGCCCACCTTGAATATTCTTTAAAGAGAAGGTTTCTGAATGTGTTAAGTTTTACAAAAAATCGTTTAAAATACACTTAATGAAGATGGCCCGTCTGCCTGCATAAACTCAATGAATAAATAAAAAAATTTATAATAAATTTTAAAAAATTTACCCGTTTTTCCGAAAAAATAGTTTTATAACAGGTTTAATGTAAATCGGAGTTGGGTGTTCCAAAAAAGGGTAAAACTTTTAAAAATAAATCGTTTAGATTTTTGGATTGAAAAGGCTTTCAATTCGGGGTTGTTTTCAAAAAACTTTAAAAGGGGAGTCCCCGATGCCCCGAAAGGGAAATTTTAAAAATTAAAACCTAAAGGGAAAAACAAAATTTACTAGAAAATGGGAAAAAAAAAATCCATTCGTTAATATTTCATTTTTAAAAAAAAAATTTTTAAAATTGTTTGGGCTAACCAAACCCTAGTTTTTTGTTGGGGTTTTTAAAAAAAAAAAACAGCAGTTATTCCCCTATTTTTCTCAGTTGCACTATATGTTTTGATATGGGAAAAAAATATTTTTGGGGATTTGAGACCGCAATAATCCCAAACGCTTCCAGCGTTGACCCAACAAAATTTTTAAAAATTTTTCACCTCCCCAAATTTTGCAGGGGTAGGGGGGCGTCGTTGACCACTTTAACTTCCCTCCCCAAAATTTAATTTTTTTAAAAAAAACCCTTTTTACCAAGTCGTTTTTTTTTTTTTTTGGGGCCCCGGTTTTCCCTTTCCCCCCGTATCACTGTCCCTTTTTTGTATTCGGAAAAACCCAGAGGGTGGTCTGGATCTAATGAAATCCCCTTGGGCCTGGTTATGTTTTTTAAAATTTTTCAAAGCTATTCTTCTAAGGGGGTTAGGGGGGATATACACTTAAAACAACCGTTGGGGGAATTTTTTAAATTTCTATAAAAATAAGAATCGAAATTTTATTCCATCCTAATTAACCCCATCCCAATCAACTCCTAAATTGATTTTAAAATCTTTAAATTTCCAAAATGATACATGGTTTTTTTATTGATCCCAAAGGTTTTTTAAAAAAGGGATAGTTTTTTCAAAAATGTAGTGGCGAGGGGTTTTAAAAACCAGTGGGTTCCCAAATTTACAAGACCCCATGTTGATGTTGCGTTAAGGGGTTTAAATGGGAAAGGGGGAAATTGGGCCCCTTTGTTGGGATATGTTGCGTCCTGTAGTATCTGAAGGAAAAGTAGCGAACCTTACCCCCACCTTTTACCAAAGGCGACCCCTTTTCCCCCAAGAGCATCCCCGGTATCAAATGAAAAATTTAAATTAAAGTGTTTGATTGTGGTTACAATTTTGATTTTTCAAGTTTTTCTTTTTGAAATTTTTTTTTTTTTTTTTTAAAAACTAACTTTTTTGGGTCCCACAAAATGGGGCCTTCAAATAGGGTTTTTCGTTTAAAATTTAAAATTTCAAATTTTAATTGTGTTTAAAAAAAGGTTTTTTAATTTTGTTCAAGGGCAAAAAAAAGCTTTTTGGAATTTGATTAATTTCCAAAAATTTCCATGTTATTTCACCTGTTTATTTAAAGAGCACCCAATGAATTTAAGTTTTCCCCCTTGGTTATACCGTTACGGGAATCAATTTTACCCGGAAATTCCTACCCTCTGAAAAATTTAAATTTTTTGAAATTTTTTAAAGGGAAAAAAAAGTTTAAATTTTAAAAACTTATTTATAATCTTTTTAAAAGTTTTTAATTTTTTTTATTCTACCGCCCTTCTTTAGCTTAAAACCCTAATTAAACGACAAAAAAATTTTTGAAAAAACAACAAATATAAAAGGTAAATGAAGGCATTTACTTGGTTTTTGTAAACGAATGGCTGTTTTTTATAAGATACCCTCGTACCGCATTTTGTCTAAAAACTGTTTGATTTCTTTAGGTCTCCCCCCTTTAAAATCAAACTCTGTAATAAAGGGATTAAAAGTGATTTTTGGTATACAAAATTTTATCAGATATTTAAAAAAATAGGGTGCAAAACCCAAAATTTTAAAAAAACACAATAAAATACCTTTTTGTTGACAATTTTGTATTTAAAAAATAATTTTTTCAGTAATGAAAAACTTTTTTCCCTCTCCATAAAAAGTGACGGGGCCCCGAAGACCAAAAAAAAAAATTAAACAAAAGACAAAAGAAAGAAATTAATTTCCAAACCCCGTTGGTAAATAGCAAATCAAAAAAATTTTGGAAAAAAAATTCTCAATTAATTGATTAACAAAATATGGTGTAAGAAAATACGGGATAACCCCATTAAATTTTAAACTTATCAATGATAATTCATTTTGGAAATAAAAAAACTCCCAAATATTTTTTAGTAGATTAATGGGGGACAAGATGGGGGTTCAGTGGGTACCGTTAGTGCAAAAAAGGGGGGTCAATTTGCAAACCCCCGGGATTATTTGTAGTTGGCCTGAAAAAATCGTTGAATATGGGGAAAGATCTTGTTTTGATAAAGGGGGATGCTAAAGTGCGAAAGGGAAAAAAGTTAAGGGGAAAAAATGTTTCAGTCAAAATATTTTTGAAAATAATTTGTAGGGATTTTATGAAAAAAAAATAAAATTTAAATTTACAATCATAAACGAAAGTTGTATGTTTTATTACGAGAGAGTCAAAGTTTTTCTATTGGGAAACATCCCTTTAAGGGCGAATCAAATTTGCAGTTGTATGTTTATGAAGTAAAAAAGGGTACTGCTTAAAAGGAATCAAAAATTTTTGGAACAAGAAATAAAAATAAATTTTCCTTAAACTTTGCAACATTTTTCATTAAATCACCCAAACGTTGAACAAATGTGGGAGATACGGGGTTTGGGTAGGTTGATGTTTCCCGGAATTTTATGTGAAGTTGATTGGGGTTGGGAAAATCGGAGTTGTAGGTGGTGGTTTTCCCCCTGATGGGTTCCCTCGACGTCGTTTTGGAATCGTAGTTTTTAAAATTCCCAGACGTAAACGTCTAGGAGCCTTCCGCAATTAAAGGGGGTTCCCTAGCGTTTTCTTACAGGTCAAGTTGATCCTATGTAATGAGACTTAGTCACTGACAAAACAGTGAGGTGTTAATTTGTTAATAAATATCCGACTTTTTTTTTTTGAAGAGGGGAAATTTGTTACCCAAAGGGCATATCAAAAAAAAGTTTTGTTTTAATGTTTTTTGTACCCCCGAGTAGGCGAGCATCTCATGATTTTTCGTGGGTATTTGGAACCTCTTTAAAAAAGATAAAAAAAAAGTAAATTAAGAAAATTATGCTGCAAAATTTGAATAAAAACCTTTTAACATTTTGGTTTCAAAATGACAAGATTTCTCATGAAAAAAGTTGGTTTTAAGGGGTCTTTCTGTGTTTTGTCTGCAGATTAAAGAAAGGGGAAAAAAAAACCCCCCGGGTTTTCGAGAGTAGGTCGGAATTTTATTTGAAGTTGGTGCCCAAAATGAAGTTAGGAAAAAAGCAAAGCGTAATTCAGTTTTAACAACCCCAATAGGTTTCTTTCCCTGTTACCCCCTAGTGCTTACTCAAAACATTTACACAAATATTGTACTTGTGTGTTTGCCCGCATTCGTACCCCTTCTTCTACACTGAAACTCAGTATTTAAAAAAAAGGCCCCTAAAAAAAATCAACGTATTTTACAGGAACTGAAAATTTAACTTTTAAATAAATTATGGATCCCAGATGAGTTTAATTTTTTTTTAAAAAGTAGGATGTAACAAATAAACTTAGATATAAAGGGAAAAAGCAGGTATTTGGGGGGTTTTAAATACCCCCCAAGTCCCAAGAAAAATTAGAAAATAAGGGGTTGACAAAAAAGTCTTTTAAAGTAGATTTGCTGAATGAAAATTTTTCGATTGGCCCCCGACATTTTAGCGCGGGTTTGTCCGTAATTGGAAGAGTGGCACCTCATGGTCAGAGTTTATGTCTGAAAGTTGGGGACCCGGGGCACTGTTTGTGCGATGTTACCCCCCCCCACCTTGTTATAGCGCCCCGATGATCCTTCCCCGACACAGTGACACTTGTCCACTTTATCACAAGTAAGGTTTGGGGGGGGTTGGTTTTTAGGGCTGGGGAAGACCCGAAATAATTTTTTTTTCAAACCCCAAAAAATTTGGAGTTAAAGTTTATTTAATTGTTGAACAAAATACAAATTAAGAAAAATTTTCGTACAAATTGAAAAAAAGACCCCGTTTCAAATTGTGGTTCTCAAAAATGTACAAGAAACTCATGAAAAATTTGAGTTGAAATCAGTCTTTTAGTTTTTGCAGCTGTCGATGTAATGCACAGGTGAAAAAAGCATAACCCGGGTTTTAAGGTACGGTCAGAATTTAGTTTGAATGTTTGGGGGTGGATGTAAGTCCCGTCAATAGATATGTCCCCCACGTCATTTAGCTCACCGAAGGTTTGTTTATGTTAGCCCCCGCTGCTTAAAAAATTATAACAAAATATTTTTCTGTGTTTTTCAGACTTTATCCCCTTTGCTTTACACCCCGAAAAATCTATTTAAAAGCCCCAAAAAAAAAATTAAGTATTGACAGGTAGATCTTGAACTTTCTCAATAAGTTTAGGATCCCATGATGAGTTTAATTTTTTTTAACGTTTGGAGTAACAAAATCTTAATATAAGGGAAAACAGAGAGGAAATTTTTGGGATTATAAATACCCCCAAGTCCTAAGAAACTTCCCAAAGTAAGAAGTTGCAAAATGCTTTGAAAATGATGTTTTGAAGATATTTACAGATTTGGAGAATTTGTAGTCGCGGGGGTTTCCCCTCAGCAAAATTGTAAGAGTGGGAGCATAATGGTCAGGTTTTATTTTTGAATTTTTGGGACCCGGGTCCTGTTCCCCGGGATGGTGTACCCCCCATACCACTTGTTATAGCAGCCCCCCATGATTTCCAGACCAGTGAATTGAAAATTCCCATATAAGTCAATGTTGAGCCACGCGGTGTGGTTTTTTTGGGGTTGGTAGGAACGGCTGAAAAGAGGTGAACGCGGTGAAAAAATTTGATTTTTTAAAAACACAAAAATTTGGTATGTTTTAAAATCATACTGTTTGTAATAAAAAAGCCCAAATTAAAAAAGATTACTGTACAAATTTTTAATAAAACCCGTTATAAATTGGGTTCTCAAAAATGTATCAAGATTCTCATGAAAAGTTTGAGTTGACGGGGTCTTTTTGTGTTTTGATGCTGTCAATGTAAAGACACGGTAAAACAGATAACGTGTTTTACCAAGTAGGTCAATTGAGTTTGAATGTTGGGGCAAGATCGTTGTTCAAGGGGGAAAAGATAGCTGTAAACCCCTTTAAAAACACCGAAAATTTTTCCATGTTACCGTCCAGTGTTACTCAACCCCTTCTAACAAGATATTGTTTGGTGTTTGCCCGCCCTTGACCCTTTGTTTTAAACCCGCAATCAGTCATTTAAAAAAGGAATAAAAATACAACGTATTGGGAAGGAATGAATATTTCTTTTTTCAATAAATTATGGATTTGAGAGTTTTAATTTTGTTTAAAGTAGGATGTAACAGCTATTTAGATTAGAGTTAAAAAAAGAAATCATTTAGGGCATTTAAAACCACCAATCCCAGAAATTTGAAAGTAAGGAATTGCAAAAAAGTTTTGAAAAAGAGTTGCTGAATCGAATTTCTACAGATTGGCAGACATTTGTATGTCGCGGGATTTCTGTCCAAATCACTTGGAAAAGTGGCATTTTAAGGTAGGTTGAGTTGAAGTTGGGACAGGGTCGCTGTTCCCTGTGCGATAGGTAAATCCAAGTTATAGCGCCCCCCATAATGTCCCGAAACCCGGCATTGAAAACATTCGATAACAATTAATGAGAAGGTTGGTGGCTTTTTTAGGAGTTGGAGAGGCTGAAAATTTGATTCTTTCAAATCACAAAAATTTGGATGTTAAAGTTCATTATTAATTAGTTGTAAACTAAAAAAAAGCCCAAAATTTTGAAAAATTATGACAAAATTGAATAAGACCTCGTTATAACATTTTGGTTTAAAAGTATCAAGATTATCACTGAAAAGTTCGAGTTGAAGCAGTCTTTATATTTTTGCATTGTCGAGAAGACCGGTGAAAAGCAAACCGTGTTTTACCAGAGGGCGGCGAAGAGTTTAAATTTGGTGGGAGGATGAAGTTCCAAAATAATAAAAGTGCCCCACCTAAATTATGATAGGGTTTTATGTTAGCTCCAGGTTCTAAAAATTAACCAAGATATTTAGTTTTTTTGTTTGTCAGCATTATACCCCCAGGTTTAACTGAAACAATAGATTAATGTAACCCCCAAAAAAAAAATCCCGTATTTTACGGAACTGATCATTGAATTTTAAAAAAATTCAGGATCCCTTTATGGTTTAATTGTTTTTCAGTGGGGTGTTAAAAATTATTTGATTAAAGGAAAACAGCGAGCGTATTTATGGGGAGTTATAAAACCCCAAAAACCCCAAAAAACTTACGAAACTAAGGAAGTTGAAACAATGTCTTTGAAAGTTGAGTTGCGAATCCGAATTTCTACAATTGCGCAGCACTTTTTTATGTCCGGGTTTTTCCGCTCCGTACACTTGGAAGGTGCGATAATGTCAGGTTGAGTTGAATCTTGGGGGAAAAAGGGGGGCTTGTCATGGTGTTTCCCCCATACCACTTGTTTTAAGCCCCCGCTGATTTCAGACACAGGCATTGTATCCAAATCTCATATACAAGTCAAAGTTGAGCCCCAGCGGGGGTGGCTTTTTTAGGAGTCCCGGAACACGGGGGGAAATAAAATTTTATTCTTTCAAACCACAAAAAATTTGGGATGTTAAGTACATTAATGTAGTTTTAATAAAATAGCCCAAATTAAAAAAGATAGCCAAAATTTTAATAAGTCCCCGTTTACCATTGTGGTTCTCAAAATGTATCGATTACTACTGAAAAGTTCGAGTTACAGCATCTCTTCATCAGTTTTTTTCATGCCGTCAGAGTAATGCACGGGGGAAAACGCATCAGCGTGTTTTCAACAGAAGGGACGGTAGAATTGTGTTTGATCGTTTGGGGTCGGAAAGGAAGTTCCAAGTCAAAAGCAAGTGCCAGCACTCGAGTTATGTTTACCCCAAGGTTTCTTCCTGTTCCCCTCAGTGCTGATCAAAATTTTTAAAAACAAAATTGTAGCTTCTGTGTCTTTCACACTTCCTACCCTTGCTTGTAAAGAAACAATCATATTTTAAAAAAACCCGCAATAAAAAAAAAATCAAAATTTGTAAGGAGAATCATGCTTTTTCAACTAAATTATGGGTTATGGAGGTTTTAATTTTTTTTTTAAAAAGTAGGTGAAATTATTTGATATAAAATTAAAAAGCGAGCATCATTTAGGGCAGTTTAAATATCACCAAGCCCAAGAAATGAAAGTAGGAAATTGCAAAATAGTTTTGAAAATAGAGTTGTGAATCCCAATTTCTTTAGATTGGCAGAATTTGTATGTGGGATTTTTGGCTCCGTCACTTGGAAGGTGATGATCAATGGTCAGATTGATGTTGAAAATTTTGGGAATAGGGGGTCCCGTGCTGATGTATCCACTCATTGTTTTTGCACCCCCGATGATTCCCCCAACCAAATGACATTATCCAATTCCGATATACAAGTCAATGTCTGAGCCACAGCGGGGGGGTTTTTAGGAGTTCCCGGGAAGACGGTGAAAAAATTTGATTCTTCAAACTCACAAAAATTTTGGGAGTTAAAGTATATTTCATGTAGTTGTAAAATAAAATGCCTAAAAAAAAAAAGTTTTGCTACAAAATGAATAATTTCCCCGTTATAAAAATTGGTTCTCAAATTGTACAAGATTTCTCATGAAAAAAGTTGAGTTGACATCAGTTTTTCTGATGTTTTTGTGCTGTCAGATGTAAAGCACAGGTGAAAACAGTCAGCCCTGTTTTTCAAAAAGGTCGGTCAGAATTGTAGTTTGTCGTTGGTGTAGGAAGGTAAGTTCCAAGTCAAAAGATGGCCGCCTCGATTATATTTTACCCCAAGGTTTTTCTTCCATGTTTTAACCCCCTCAGTGTATAAAATTTTACTAAAAAATATTGTAGCTTCTGGTTTGCCCCAATTCGTCCTTAGCTTGTAATTGAACAACTCATTTAAAAAAAGCCCCCAAAAAAATACAAAAGTATTGTACAGGAAGAATCATTGAAAAATTTCTAACTAAATTTATGGGTCCCATGATAGTTTTAAATTTTTTTTTAACAGTAGTGTAACAAGTTATTTAAATAAAGTTAAAAAAAGCAGAGCATCATTTTTGGGGATTAAAATACCCCAAATCCCCAAGAACTTACGAAGTAAGGAAGTTTACAACAAGTCTTTGAAGGTAGAAATTTTTGAATCCAGATATTTAAATTCCCCACAATTTGTTGTCCCGGGGTTTTGCCCAGCTACACTTGTAAAAGTGGCAGATCAATGGTAGAGTTGATTTTTGAAATTTTTTTACCGGGTCAGCTGTTCCCTTTGCGATAGTGTACCTCCATCCCCTTGTTTTAGCAGCCCCGTGTCCTTCCAGAACAGTGACATTTAACCACATCTCCCATTCCAAGTCAAGTCGAGCCCCGGGGGTGGTTTTTTTTGGAGTCTCCCCGGGAAAGACGGCTGAAATAAATTTTTTTCTTTAAACTCCTTTTGAATGACCTTTGAATTTCAAAAAGAGAATTTAAAGAAAAGAAAAGTGTTTGATTCAAATTGTTGGGTGGAAAACCAAAATAGGGAATTTAAGGAATTGGCAATTTACTGGTTTAGTTTTTTAGCCTTTGTTTAAGTGTTAACAATTGACATGTTTTGTGTGTTTGTTTTAGGTCATATATTTTTTATAAGCTTAGCAAATTTTTTTTTCCCCTTTTCATAAGCTTTTTATCAGTTTTTTCATTAAAAAAAGTTTGGGGTCGTCAGCAATAGTATGAAAATTCCTAAATCTGAGGAAGGTAAATTTTATGATTGAAGAAAAAAAGGGCGGGCCCAAAACAGA